TGGGGGGGTCTGGGGACGACGTTTTGGAGGGCTCTCCCACGGGGGGGGGGGGTCTGAAATGGCTTGCCTTGGAGGGTCCAGACCCCCTCCCTTTTACTACGAGATCTGGAGTACGCTTAGGTTGTGACCTCTCTCTTGGCACGGCGGCATTCGCCGTCGCGAAGGGGCTCCCCGCGAAGTCTCTAAGGCCACGGCAGGTGGCCCTCCCGGGCCCGCGGGCGGCCCCCGCGGCTCTGCCTGCCGGGGCGCGGGCGGTCTCCCCGCGGGTCCGCCGCGCGCACCCCGCCGGCGCCCTCGCTGGGCCTGCCAAGCGGAAGGGGCCCAGGGACACGCAAATAAATACACACAAATAAGATCCCAACCAGCATCCATGAGGCCTCTGACCCACCGCCCACGCACGGTGGCGGGATAGGCCGACGGCCACTGGATGAATGCTGAGTGAGAGGAGGGGAGGGAAAAAGAGAGGAGGGACGAGGGCGAAGAAGGATCACATCAGTCGGAGCGCCCCGGATCGGCGGCACTGGCCGAAGGCCACTACAACACACACAAATAAGATGGCTCCCTATATTTTGTCCCATAGTTTCTGGGTGTTCGTCTTCCCGCCCAATTCCCAACATATTGTCCCGTCTTTTCGTGGGGATCGACGCTTCATTGCGTCTGTGTGTGTTTTTTCCCCTCCTGATGAGTGGCCTGTCGTAGCTGCGCGGGTGGCCCGCGTGGATCTGCGGCGTCGCCCTCGGAGCTCACCTCGTGGCCCTCGCACTTCTGCCGGCCTCGGAGCCCCGCGGGTTGACCCCCGCGCGCGCGCCTCGGCCGCGAACGCTCGGAGCCCCGCGCCGTTTCCGCCGCAGCTCTCTGCCCGTGGCGCTCTCGCACCTCCGCTGCCGGCCGCCGCGCGGCTGCCGGCGTGTCCCCCGAGGCCCCGCCGACGGCTCCTCGCTGCTGCGCCCGTGCTCCTCGCAGCTCTCGCCTGGGTGGCCCTCGAAGGGTTTTTCCCGTCCCGTTGCCCGCGAAGCTCGACGTCCCTCGTGGCTCTGCCGGCGGCCCTCGTGCCTCGGCCGGCTGCCCTCGAAGCGCAACCGGGGGGCCCTCGCAGTCTCGTTGGTGGCCCCGCTGTGGCTGAGCTTGCTCTGTGGCCCTCGGAAGTGTGCTGCCCGTGCGCAGCTCGTGAAGCTCGGCTCGTGGTCTTCGTGATTCGGCAGGTGGCTCTCGCAGCTCGGCTGCTGGCCCTCGAAGGTCACCTCGGTGCCCGCGTAGCTCGGCTTGTGACCCGTCGCTGCCGTAGCTGCCATTGCCGAAGCTGCCGCTGCGGTCGCACTCGTGGGCATCGTGCTCGACGGTGGGCTTCTGCAGCTACGCGGCGGCGTACCGGTGGAAATGCGGCTTCAGTGGGACCTCCACGGCGATATGCTGTATCTGCTGTTCTCTTAACGCCAAATGTTCTCGTACAACACCTCGTCCGCGCGTGTTGTCGCACGGCACGTTTTCCCTCGTCTCCCACGCGTGCTCTCGTACAACACATATTCCTTCCTCGCCGTGTTTAATGTCGTACATGTCGTGTCCGGTCTTGTAACAGCTGTCGAATGCGTCGTCCTACTTCTGAAGAGCAACGGGATTTGGTTGACGTCCATGTACGACGTGGTACCCCATACACCAAAGAGCGGGTTGCGCTCTGATTATCGGCGTTGCTGCTGGCACGTCTCCAAATGGGGATGTTCGCATCGCTACTGACGATCCACACGTGGATCTCGATGACCCAGCCGTAAACGGCGATGGTCCGCGCGTAGATTTCCACATGGGAGAAGAATAGAAAATACCCCAAAATGCCCCCCCCAATGCTCACGAAAGGTCCAAAAATCGTCCCCGGATTATTTTTTGACTATTTTTGGATATTCCCCCTGTAGAGGGACACGCCCGACTTAAGCGTGAGATCTTGATGGCCAACCCGAAGCACGTGTGGCCACTGCCGCTGGCCGGGCCGCGGCGCAGCCGGCGGCCCGAGGCCGCCCCGCCCTTGCACCCGGGGGGAAACGAGCTCCCCGCCATCGGCTTTCCCCCCCCCCTCCTCCCCCTCCTCCCCCTCCTCCCTGCTCCTCCTGCTCCTCCTGCTCCTCCTGCTCCTCCTGCTCCTCCTGCTCCTCCTGCTCCTCCTGCTCCTCCTGCTCCTCCTGCTCCTCCTGCTCCTCCTGCTCCTCCTGCTCCTCCTGCTCCTCCCTGCTCCTGCTCCCCTCCCTCTCCTCCCCCTCCTCATGCTCCCCCTGCTCCTCCTGTCGGGCCGGGCGAAAGGGGGGGATAGCAAAGGGGGGGTTTGAGAATCGGCTCCCGTAGCTGCTTTCCCCGGCGCCTCCCAGCGCTGGGAGGCGCCCCTGCATCGAGACATGGGCGCGGCGGCGGGGCCGAAAGCAGCTGCACGCGGCAGCCTTCGTAACCCCCCCCTCTCCCCATCCCCCCCCAGAGATCCGACGTCGTGCTTTTTTCAAGGCGCGGCCCCCGGAAGTCTCGACCCCTTCCCCAGGACCGGCTTTTCATCCTGGGTCGTTTTTGGACG